AGAAGAATAGAAATGTCTATTATCATTAACATTTTTTATTTTCTTATCTTGCCTAAGGAGTGGCAGGAATTTTTAGTCTTGAAAAATTAGTGGAACATATTTCAAATGACATCCTGGCACACACTCTTTCTGTACCTCAGTTTGGCTACATTACATATTTTATTTGTGTGCCTCTAATTATTTTTGCTGTAAAACTGCTGTGTAATACATCAAATCTTCAGAATGGATACCTTGGTAATTTTGCGTAAAAGGAAAAGAAATGGGATGCAGTATCTGTGAGGATTAAGAGGAGTTGGCTATTCAAAGTATCAGGATTGGTTTGGATAATGGGATGTGTCAGAGCCAGATGGTTTACAAATAGGACATACAAAGCAACAAAGGGTCTGCCAGAATTTTATGTACAATAATTTGCTTTTAGAGATTTACCAAGTAAGCAAAGTATAAACATTTTCTCTCTTGGACCTACTGCTTTTTTTTCTCTGCAGAGGGATTAGAAAGTATCAGTATAAGAAAAATAACCTCAGAACTCCATTTCCTCTCACAAAAAAAGTCTGGAATGAAGAGCTTACTGCAGAAAATGATGTATTTTTACATATTATTTGATGTTCTAATCTTCTTCTGATATCAGGACTTTTCATGAGATAGGCCAGCAAATGAAAAATCATGGATGAGAGAATACCTGTAGCGTGTAATGTTTGGTTTTGTTCCAGAAGACCTTTGAACACTCACAACGTGGTATTTTGATATCAAATAAGATTTTACATAAACATAATACCTTTGTCTTAAAGTAGGTAAAATATGTTTGTTTTCCCTTTCTAAAGATACCAAATTCCAGGGATTCCCCATTATGATTTGAGTAACTTGGCCCAAAAGAATTGGAGAAGAACCTAAGTGGAAATTATGGGCTCAAAAACTTAATATAAATGAAATTACATCTTACCCAATTTACCCACTTGAGGAGGGTAGCACATGTTGATCTGATGTTCACAGAGATGAGTTCTCTAACTGAAAAGGGGGTTCTTACTCTGTTGAGGAGCACTGTGTACAGCTAATTCTTATATAGCCAGACTGTCGTACTTCAAATTGGCTTACGCCAAGCAGTGGCAAACCAGTTGTGATACAGAGATAATATTTCCGCTGGATGTAATTTACTCTCTTCTCATGTAAATCTAACACCTGCTGCTCCATAATCATAACAGGAGTGCTTTTATCCTGCATGTTTACCTTTGAGTGTTGTACCAGCCCTGTTTAAACTTCTGTGTGTGAAAGAACAGCACGTCCCGTTTGCCTTGGTTCTTAACTGCTGTACTGGACACAGAGGGTGAGCAGAGCTGCTCCAGAGCTTCCTGAGACCAGCCATCCTATACTGCTCTTTTTACTTCCTTTTTCTTGAATAATGAGTAATTTTGACAAGAACCCAGGGAAAAAAAGTCACATTGCAGTCAAGTTCAGAGTTTATTCCAGGTCAAAATAAAAGACTAGAAAATGAGGAAAAATAAGTGTTTCAATAACCATGTTTTGCCTAGGGGTTTTTTTGTGTGTGTGTGTGTGTGTGTTTGTTTGTTTGTTTGTTTTCTTCATTTCACAGAACAGGGTGAGTGATCAGAAGCTAATAGCAGTGCAAGATTCATGGGACTAAACCCTAGTGCACTGAGCTATCACATATGCACGCCCTAAAAAAGGTTACCAAAATAAATCTTCAAATACAGAAGTGCACCAAATGAAATGGTGAATACGAAACTATTCAGCAATAAATAGAAGATGCTGACTGAAAAATCCTAAAGGAGCATGAGCACCACAACATCCAGCTCAGGGAAATCCCACAAACACGATTCATCGAGAAAACAGAGACAGTCATACACACAAATTTATCAATAGAAACAAGATCTGAATCACAAGTAATTAAATGTCCCAGCAGATGACCCTACTTTCCTAAAAAAATCTGGTAAGTTTGTGGTTGTGTTTTTGCTCTGTTCTGAAGTTACAATTTTCAGACTTTTGCTCTTTGAGGATGTATTTATTATTGCTCTTCTTCAACTGGCTCAACCTACAAGGTGGTTACAATAATGTACATGCCCAGGCAGCTGAACTAGCTCTTACATTATGTAATGTAAGTCAGGTATAATTGTTATTTACCTCACCAGAGGATAAAGGAAAAACTGCTTTTTTTACTTCTATCTTCTGGGGCTTCTGTATGGAGCTCTTGCAAGCCTTGGCCAAACAGCTGTAGGACCAGGTTTGTGCCCTGCCTCCCTTAGTGAGTAAAGGCCAAATAAGGCCCTTGCCAAATAAGTAGGTAAATCAAATAGATCTTCATATTTAGGGAATAGTGAGTAGAAATGTTGATGCATGGGCTTGTGATAGAATTTATCAGAGGGGGAGATACAACATTGGCACAAACATGCTTGGTTCCATGTCCACCCAAAAGTGCTCTTCAAAGGAGGTGGGTTTTATTCCACAAAGTTTCTCTTTTCCAGCAGGGCTTGGGCAGCAGTTCAGTTTGCACAGTTAGTATCTGTTGTGAACGTGAATCACAAAGTTCTAGATGTCCCCAAAGAGCACAGAACAAAGAGCACAACAAAGGTCAAGACGCGAGGAGCCATGTGAGTCACACTGGGTTTTTTTCAACACAGTTTTGGATTTTTGTGCCTCAGATCCAGCTGCATTTGAATCCTTTTTTGAACTGACTCCAGTGGTCTTCTGAAGAGCCTGTAATTATTTTGGCTGAGACCTAAATTATTGACAGAAGCTGCTGCAAAATCGGAAAGGAGGAATCTCAACATTGATGTGGGATAACTTGTGGCCCCAAAAGGGACAATTCCCCATGACTCTGCTGCTAATAATTGTTGCCTCTTGCAGGACTTGGTAATTGTGCAGGCACACCAGGCATTGGCACAATTTCCTAATTTGATTTAGGGAACATGCACCAGAAAAGTTGGATTTTTGTTTTTTTGCATCTGCAAACTCACTGCATGTCCCCACAATCACTGGCTTTGTTTGTGTGGGTGGCAAAGGCAGGAGCACACAGCCAAGGGCAGGTCAGTAAGAGGATTGTAAAGCAGTTGATACCAAACCTGAAGCCATACCCCAGGTACTTGTTCAAGAGATCATTTGAAAGGTTCCTCAGGTGTGTCCATATGAGTTCCAGTCAGCACAGCGCAGGTGCATTGGCTCAAAGAGCATAAATGAGGATGAGATTTGCAACAGAAAGCTGCAGGACAGGACTCAGTGAGATTGAGAAATGGGAAGTCTCTGGTATGTGGCAGGGATCAAAGGCTCTGGCAGCAATTGCGATTGCCGGGAATCGGGACGGGAATGTAACAACGAGCTGAGCTTTCAGGGAGAAGGAAGAGAGAGGGGGAAAAGTGTCTGACAACGCTGATGGGCAGGCAGCCAAAGGCAGGGAACGATTGCATGTGTGCTTGGCATTGGCTCTCCTGGGAGAAGGAGTGGACAAAACAGAAAGAAGGAAGGAAAGAAAATAGCAAGGAAAATGAAAGCAAGAGAGGATCAGCTTGGATCAGCTCTACTCTACAAATGTCCTCACTGGCAGGCATAGCCCGTGCTTGCCATAATTGCACAATCCAATCTCCATCACACAGCTTAAATGTTCCACCACATGTTTATCTGTTTATAATTGCAACGTCCTTGGGCACTTTTTAAGAGCAACTAGAAGTCCTCTTATTTCACAGGGGAACAAAAAGGCAGAAAAGCAAAAAAAGCCCAGCATTAACACAGGATATTCCCCACCCTATCATAAAAAGCTCCACTTCCCTTTTTCTAGAATGAGTGTCTAAAAAGCAGATGCACTCTTGCAAAACTCTTTGAAGAGCTGAGTAAATACTGAAACATTCTGTTGGGTTAGGAATAAGTTAGTTTTACTAACAAATTTTGGTTTGCCTTGAAACTCAGCCAAGTTTCCTCCCTGCTGGATCTATACTATTTTTAGAATACCTGTATTTGGGTGGTAACTAGGACCAGGCTAGCTACCACAAAATTCTGGTTCTGAAGGGAAATTTTTGTCCCAAATATTTTATTCTCCTGAAATTAATCAAAATAGCACTTATGTCTTATTCCCAGTTCTGAGAAAATTTTGGAAAACTTGCTGCATCTCACCCATAAAAAAATGTGAGAGCAAAATTCCAAGTGACTATGTTGTATTTGGAAAGGGCTGAAGGAGAGGGAGTTTGGAGAAGTTTGTGGAAGGCAGTTCTGAAAAAAAGAAAAGAACAGTATGCATTTTTAGCAAAGACGAGAACTGTAGAAATTAGCTGAATTTTCAGGAGGGATTTTGAAAAGCGGCATTGTGCCAGGCTCCGACATCAAGAGAACTGCTCGGGGATGTGCTAACGTAGCTGCTTTCCTGGTAGAGGACATTAACCATACCCGTCTGGGGCACGGTTCAATAGCTGTAGCAGACAAGTGCGAACCCAGTCGTAAAATGAAAACGACTTTGACTCGCAGAACGAGACCTTCGTGAGCGTGCGGCCGCGCTGCAGCGCCCTGTCGGAAGCACGGAGGGCGCGGGGCAGCGGAGCGGAGCGGGTGCGATCCCGCAGGGGCTGTGCGGGCACCGCCCGCGTCCCGCGGCGTCCCTGCGGCTCCGCGACTGCAGCGCGGCCAAGCCCGAGCTCGGGGAGGCACCGGCGGCTCCAGCGGAGGGGAACTCAGTGATCTCAAAGTCTTTTCCAATCGAATCGATTCCGTGAATCTCTGTGCTGGCCATGCGGGAGGCAGCGGCGGGGAGCGGAGGGTAGCACATGGGGCACAGAGGGGTGACAGCAGAGGGAGGGCAGTGCGGGCCGGGGGATGCTCCCGTCGCTGCACAGCCCCGAGCCCGGGGCGGCACCGCCCAGGTGGCGGGGCCGGGCCGCCCCTCCCGCCCGGCTCGGATTACCTGGGCGGGCCGGCCCGGCCCGTCCCGTCACGCCGCCCTTCCCGGCTGGTCCGGCCCCCTGACGGGAAGTGGGAGCGAGGGGCCGCGCTGGGGCGGCCGAGCCATGGCTGTGCCCGCGGCAGCTCCGCTGCCCTGCCCGCTCCTCCTCGCTGTCTGCTGGGTGGTGGCCGCGGCGGCGGCGGCAGGTAGGAGCGGGCAGGGCGGCGGGGCGCGGGCGGCGGAGCCCGGGAGCGGCTGCGGGCTGCGGGCTGCGCTCCGGGGCGCGGTGCCGGCGCTGGAGCGGCCGCTCCGGGCTCCTTTCCTCGTGCGTGGGGCGGGCGGCTCGGCCGTGGCTCCGCGCACACGCGGGGATGGATGTGAGGGAAATGCGGGCATGGATGTAAGGGAAATCCTTTCATTTTGTGGTAGAAATAGCCCGAAGCTCGTCGGCCGTGTGCGAGGCAGCCCGGCTGCGCGCCCTGCGCTGTCCCTTACCGGGAGCGGGGATGCTGAAATTCTGCTCTCCCCTTTCATTAAGGCAGGGTCGGTAGAAATGTTTTAAGCTCCATCTTCGTTTCCCAGGACAGTTTCTGCCTTAAAACCCCGAGCAGAAGCCCCTGCCCTCCTCTCGGTGCCTGAGTCTTGCGGCGGTGCGGGAGCGGCTCCGCCGGTGCGGGCGCGCAGAGCCCCCCTCGCCCTGCGCCTCCGCTCTTCCTTCGGGATTCCCGAGTTTGGAAGTACGAGTGTTTAGTTTTGGGAGACATGCGTGCGCGTCTGTGAGGGCTTCATAAGGACGCGGGCTTGAAGGTTTATTCTCTGCTCACGTTATCCAAGAACCCAGCTATAGACATTAACGAAATGTTATTTTTCAACTGTCTGCAGTTCGGTTTATCATTATGAAATCAACTTTATGACTATGAAATCAACTTTCAGAAAATGCAGGAGAACAAAATAAAAATATGATGAGTTTTATACTACTTTACAACACTCTCACGTGATACTTGAAGCAAAGGATTTGCTGATGTTTCCTCGTTAGGGCTTTTAGAAATAACATGTTTTCTATGCCTCATGTAATCTCTACTGGCTATTGCTGTTCTTCTTTTCTTAGAAGCACCACTGTGGTTTTGCATTTTAAGAGTGAAATAACGGCTTGCCCACATTTTGTAGTTGGTCATTGAGTTGTTCTGCAAAATTACTACAGAAATTTTAATAACGAGAGCATGAGATGGTGAGCATGAGCATATTTTACACAGATAAAAGTATAGATTGGCTTAATCTATCAATAAAAGATGAATTTAAAACATTAAAACATGAGCTTCAGAATTCTGTAGATTATTCAAAACTCTACTAGATTTAAACTTTTTATGCTAATACGATTTACTGATTAATTTATAAGCTGTAAATATTAGCACTTCTTTGTGTGGCTAGTAATCCACAAACCTTAAGTGCAATGGCTTCTAATCAGACCTTTTAGAAGAAAATGTTTAGAACTTCAGAGTAGAAATCAGGGATGACATTTTTTAATAGTTTGTGGCTATTGTAGGTAAAAGTTCAGTCATGACAAGATGGAATGCTTGTACTCTTGTTGAAATTTTTTTTTTTTTTAATATGATCAGAAAGACTTAGTATTTTCAAACTTAATGTCCCAAGGCTGTTCCTAAAGCCTGTCCTATGTTTTTGTTAGTGGAAGAGGTAATAGACAAAGATGTTCTTGCTACATTCCATTTTCTCACTGGAGACTGTATTTTTGCAAGAATAAAAATTTCTCTTTTCTGCTCAAACAAAAATCACAAAAATTTTAAGTAGTCAAACAAACTAAGCATATTCAAACTAAATCAGTGCATCTTTGTAATTATTCTCATTATCTGTGCAAGCACATGGATTATAATGGTGCCTGATCTTTACCATTGCCTGTTCCTGTACTATGCAAAGGTCTGAGAGAGCTCCAGAAGTTTGATGAATTCCTTTCAAGATTTAGCTGCTCTGGCTTTTAGGAAATGTAAAATAATGGTGTCATGGATGCTTTGAGCAGAACTGTTGCTCAAGGAACCTCTTTTGCTTCTCTATCTTCCCTCTTCCTTGTGCTAGCAGAAGGAAACAGGGCTGCACTGTGACCTGGATGGGAAAACTGATCTTGATGGAATTATTCTGCCCTTTTCCTATGAGCTCACTTGAATATTGAGATGGGTTGAGCTTGGTTCCCTGGGACAGCGGGACCTGCAGCACGAGCTGATATCTGTTTGAAGTGTTTGTGAAACTATTGAGTAACGAGGGTACACTCTGCCCACAGACTTACACGTGGTGGTGGCTCAGTGATGATACCTGGAGATACCCTGACAAACAGAAATTGGGCTTGTGGTTCAACATCTTCTCGTAGTACATATTAGAGTAGCCCTTTAAAAAAACAAAGTTCACTCTTACTTTTTTAGGGAATTCCCAGTTGGTAATGTTTTCTAGAATTGATGTCTGACACGTACTTTACTTTTTCCTGGAAGTTTGCCATTTCTTGTCGTATTTCCCTTCTTTGTTTTCTAATGTGATCTTCAGGGTTTGTGATGGGTCTTGAGTAGGCATTGACTCAGTGCACACGATAAGGAAGGGTCAAAGCACAGATGGATTTATCGCTGTGACCGTCTCTGAGTCATGGCCCTGCTCTGCTTCTCCTTGGCTTTTGGGGAGGTAAAAAATATCCCTGAAGTATGGCAGCAGTAAATTACTATTTGGCCCACACTGGTTTTGCTCACTGTGCCAGAACACAGCGTTATATTTTTAATAGGTAATTGAGAAAAAGATGTGGTTTCCTTGTAGTTTTTTAACGTTCTTGCATTTGCAATCTTTGCTTTGCTTGCAATCTTTGCTTAAATTTTGCTTCTAAGATACAGCTGTTACTAGAAAGATGTAAACACTTGTCTTTTTAAGGATTTCTCTTTAAAGCAATGCTGATGGATAACTTTTGGGGAGAACACAGTATTAATTGCTCCACAAAATGTATATGCTGTTTTTACTAAAGTTTCAGCCTGTGATTCATCTTCCTGCAATGCGCAAAAGCTCAAGTACCACAACCGCTGCCTTGTTGCAGGCTGCAATTTCTTAAAAATTACTTTTTAGGTAGTTTGTGCATACTTAAAATATTTACAAGTTGAGGTAACAAGAATAATAGAAACGCTTTAGTGGGCAGTACCTTATCTGATGGAAAACATGAGCTGACAAGGCCGAGAAGTTATTTGTGTTCTTTTCTGTCAGAGAGTTAAAAATCTGCCAGTATTACTAATGGTAAAGTGTGGATTGTTACACTGGTAACTCCTTTCTTCCAGGAGCAAAAGTTCTTCCATCTCCATCCAACTTGAACTATTCACTGACCCATATCTGTACTCTGACCTGGACATGGAACCCCCCAGAGAACATCAGCAGTAGCTGCAACCTGGAGTATTCCAGTGACATCGTCATTAATGGGGTTCCCGAGGACAGAAGAGTAAGTGCATCACCTCTTTGAGCTCTGTGTTCCAGTAAATGTCTTATTGTTATAAAACTCCCTGTGGGAGAGCATGTACACATATATAAATACAATTTTAATATAGCATTTCATCCTTATCATGGGATCAAAACCTCAAAAATGAATCATACCAGCATATGGGATCTTCAGATCATAAAAATCTGTCTGTTGCTCTCTGATAACTGAGTGCTGGTGGTAACATAGAAGTACTGTAATAATAATGGGAGAAGTCTCGTTTCAGTCTTTGCTTATGCAGCTTTCTAGAAAAAATAGATACAGGGCAGTCTACATACTCAAGAGTTAAGTGGGAATTTGCAAAGGCTTTTCTCCTTTACTTTGGACTCAGTTTAAAGAGACATGCAGATTTAGTTGTAGTTTGACAGTATTGCATCTTTTGGAGATAATGCCAAGAATTAACATTCCCCATTTACCCTCTCCCTGCAAGTACAATTATTTATGGGAGGGTTGTGTTTTGAAGACAATATGGTGCATGTTTGTTGCCTGGAATTGAAGACATATAACTCATTTGTTTTGGGCTTTGTTTTTCTGCGTTAGATGGTTTGCCCAGATGTGCTCCTTGCTGTGGATTAGCTGCTCTTTGGACAGGGCATTGCTGTGGTGCCCATTGCTATGGGCTGTAGGACAAGTATTTTTACAATTTATTGCCAGTAAGAAGATAAATCCGTTATTCCAAACTCTGGGAATTTGGAGCCTTTGGTAGATGCCAGCTGTGGGGGAGACAGTGCTGCTATCTCAGATATGGTTCCAATTGATATGATGCCTCTTGAAGCAGTCCATTGTTGTTGAGCCCTGTTAACAGACTTACAGCCTGATGCTTACATTGGCCTTTTCATGCTAACCACTGTATTTTTTCCCACAGCTCCAGGATATCCTGGACATGAGTAGGGATGTGGTTTGGCCAGTTTGGATGGAGCATTGAGCAACCTGTTCTAGCGGAACGCTGGAACCCACAGCGAGGGGGTTGGAACTGGATGATCTTTGAGCTCCCTTCCAGCCCAAAGCATTTTATAATTCTGTGACTCTGGTTTTGCAAACAGCTGAGCTGATTTAATGTCACTGCTAAAAGGGTGATGTTTCATTTTGACACTAATGATCTCTAAAAATCTTCTTTGGAGCTTTAGATGAGCCAGTTGAACCTGCTAACACAGCAGAAACCTATTTACCTATTTTGATTGATTCATTAAAAAATCAACAAGTAGAAAGTCTCTGTGGTTAAAGAGCTAAGTTTCTGGAAGAGTCTAATAGATATTAATGTCATCAGCAATGAATGAACTTAGGGTCGGCAGTTTCACAGGACAGGATGAAACAGACTGTACATCTTGCTGAATCTTTTTGCTCACAGAATCTGTTGGAGGTTAGGATTTTTTCTTTATTATTTTTTTAAAGGAAATTTTCTACCACTTGTTGTTAGAGATGATAACGACTGGTGCTTCAGAGAGACAAAAGAAGTGGCCAGGTTGGGGTGAAGGGGTGCAGCTGGCTGCAGCCCCTTAGCTGGGGGGGGTTTCTTTTGGGAAGGGCAGAGACACTCTGACATTTTGGCTCAGGAGCGAGGGGCTGGGCTCTGCTCCGAGCTCTCTCTCATTCCTGGGGTCTCAGGCTGCACTGTGGGAAGAATTCCCCTCTGCTGGAGAGTCCCATCTCCCACTGTTTTCTCCTACCACGAGTGAGGCTCTGCTTGTAAAAGCAGTCATTGAACTGGGGCCTTATTAACACTTCATCTCACTGGAAGGGACCCTCATAATCTGCTCAGGGGTCTCAGGGAAAACCCAGGACCCCGAGCCCCTTCCCCCTCAGAGGGAGCCTCTCCTGGCCATGTTCAGGAGCCGGGCTGCCACTGCCCAGCCCCGCCATTCCTGTGCCACTGCCCCGGGTGTTTCACTGCACTGTAACACCCTGCCCGACAGGACACCCCACGGCTCCTGCTACGGCTGAAGAGTTTCTGATTCATTTCATTTATTACTGTGGGATTGTGCTCGCCTCTGCCATTCCAGCTTGCTGCTTCTGAGGTTCCTGCTGCAGCTCCTTTCACCATCCAGAAGGGCACTGACACTGGCTGCCCCTGGGGTTTGCAGGTGAAGCCGCTTTGCTCTCTCTCCTGCCGGCCCGCCCGCCATTAGCGCGTGAGGGAGACGCGGCCGAGCTTGCCCACAGCGCCCCTGCAGGCTTGGGGGAAGTAGCGCACCCTGCCCGGCCGGGAGCCAGCAGCGCCCCTGCTGGCCGTGCCCAGAACTGCACCGAGGGAAGCTGGGCTGGGTTTGTGCTCTGCTCTTTGCGGTGTTACACACATGGACATTCCAGTCAAGAACTGGTGATCCTTTCCTTGTGTCTTTGCCTGAAAGTGTTGTTATCTTATTGCAGGGGTTCCATACTGTTGTCTCCTTCATACCTTCTTGGTGTTTCTCGTGGACAGCTCCTTAGAGCACTGACTCTTTCTTCACAAAGCAGCCAACTGACTCCAGTTCCCTTCTTAACCAGCCACCCCACTCTTTTATAGCACTCTTCTTCTTGTTGGTTACAGCTCTGGCCTGTTAAAGTCAGGCCTGCTCCTAATCTTTGATAATTGGCCCAGCTGCAACTCCTTAGGAGTAAGATTACTTTCTATGCTATCTTTATCTTCTTATATTCTATTCCCCTACATGAAAGCCCCGTTATTTTGGAGTTATAATAATTTGGTGGGAAGGGGGCCCACATTTCTTATTCCGACAGAGGTTCCACCTTGCTTGCCAGACACCTGTCTTTTAAACCTAGACAAACCTAATCTATTTGTTTGATTTCTTTACCCTCTCATTAGCGCCAATATTTATTATTTTTATATATTAGTGGTTACAGCAATCTTTGGCCATAACAAAATTATTTGTTTCATACCCAGTTTCCAGTTAACTAAAAGGCATCCTCCTAGGCCAACAAAAGATGCTCAAGAAAGTGTGTGATAAAAGGGTGAGCCTTTTTCTCATGCAAACATAGTCGAAATGGTAAGATCATGAGATACTTGGGCTTGATGTGGTGTCACTGCTTTTAATAGCCATTTATGGGTTTGTTTTGGTAGGTTTTTCTTCTGCTCCTTAAATCATCCAAACTCATCTCACTGCTTTTTGGTCGTGCCTTCTAATGTACTTCATTCTGTTGGTCATGCCCTCATGTGCGCACACACAGAAAGGTGAAGGTCAGATCTGTAAGTGCCTGTTTATACCGCTGTAGTATAAACATGCTTATTTTGTAGTATCCATGAAGACTTTTTCTAGGATCATTTCTCCCTTGTTGTACTTACTTCTTGATCTCTATGTAGCCTTTGCTTATGTCTGTAGGTCACAGGGGTAGGACTAGCTCTTCTTTGTGAGTTCTGACTGTGCCTGAGAAAGAAAAAAGCAAAGCCAAGAGATGCTCAGGCTTCCCACCTAGCCAGACAGTGGTTTCCTTTGGCTTTTAGCTGTTGTCTTTCTGAAGGGCTGTAATGTATCCTGACACTGGCAGGAATTCCCATGTGTCTGAGATGGTATGAAAAACGTTTTGGTTTTCTTCCCCCCATGTAAACCCAGGAATGGAGTAAGAGCCGATTCCGTGTGACGGACGCGCACTTGAGTGAGGAAATGCGCCTCAGAGTGAGAAGTGAGTGCAAGAACGACAACACCAGTGAGCCCAGCCCCTGGGTGGAGACCTCCCTCCTGCCAAAAGGTAATGCCAGCAGTGGCCAGACCCCTCTTGGCCTGAGAAGACATGGCTTTTTCTTGTCTCTTTCAACAAGAAATCATAAAATGCATCATAGAGAAGTACCTGACACAAGGGCTGGTTTTATTGATAGAGCTTAAACAGCATGATTATACCACCTTTAAATGCAACTGGGGTCTTCTGATGCTTAAAGTCTTCTGGGCAAGCTTGTAAAATGGAAGTGCTCTTCCAAAACAGCAGTGTAGTTCCTGTTACTTGTCTTCTGCCTCCTTTGAGCCCTTCTTTCTGAAGGGCTGTAATATATCCTTACACTGGCAGGAATTCCAGTGTGTCTGAGATGGTATGACAAATGTTTTGGTTTTCTTCCCCCCATCTAAACCCAGGAATGGTGTATGAGCTGCTTTGGTTTTGGTGGTTGTGGCACAGGAGATGGCTCTGACTCCATTAAGCCTACTGCCTTCATGACTAACATCTGTCAGTTTATTTTGCATGATTTTTCTTTATAAACAGAAACCCATAAAATACAGTTGTCTATGTAGGAGGGAGGAATGTAGTAAATTTAATAACTTGTTGAATAAATTAAATAATTGTAATAGGGTTCTGTCTTTTTCAAGAGATGAATGAGGTCTACAAAGCATAGCAAAATAAATAGAGAAAAAGTATTTTTTTTTTCTTGGCATGCAGAAGTATGGGGTCCACAGCAAAACTGTTAGGAAGCAGACTTTGAGAAGTAAGCTATTTTGCTGAATACTTGAAGTTAGGATGTACAGCAAGAAAATGAGCCTCTTGCCTAAAAGTCTGTCTTAACCCAGGAGCATGACTTTATGTGGATGAAAACCACATGTGATTGGGAGAATCAGAGACCTTATCAAGCTTGTGTGGGTGTCTGCCAGAAGGGTTCTGGAAAATCAGGGAAGGAGATCATTAGGACAGCATGTACTAAACAGGCTGGGGATTTTAAAAGTGTGTGTGCAGATGAAATATTTTTATATATTTCTTGGAATAGGAAAACCTGTTTCATTTCCCTATACTCTTAGTTGCTGCTTCAGGGAGAATGCAAGCTCTGACTTTCAATATAGACCTGCATTTAATACGCACTTAGTTTTTAGTTCGTGGAGATGTTGCTACTTGTTACAGGGAAAAGATGTCCAATGCAATGTAATATGGTAATAGAGTGTAAAGAACTCATACAGAAATGCAAGATTGAATATGAAAGACTTTATTCCATAATTGCTCTGCCTGGGTGATCCATTGACCTATTCACAATTGCTAAGTACTCATTTGTATTGATGTGACTTGAGTTTCCAAATGTTAGATTTTAATGTCTAAAGGTATATGGGTCTCAATTAAAAAGTCAGCTTACCTGGTGTTGCTTTTGTCAATATTTAAGACTCAGAGGTATTTCCATATTATAAATATCAAGCAACTAATACTGTATCTGGAGAAGCTAAAAATAGTCAACCTTTGATTATGGTTGACATTGATGGCTGTAAAAACATTTAGCCTTGTTATAGTTTTCCCTGCAACTACCAGCTACTTTGACTTATTTTTAAATACCGGTAGATTAATAGAAATAAATAGTTTCCTGACTCAATACCTTGACCTTAGCATCTGGTAACTCTAAGTAGCAATTCAGCCATGGTGAACTCTGGGATGTGCTGTTGTGATTGGCTTGCCTCTCAAAGTTATTCTGCTGAGCTTTCAGCCATTGCAAGCTCTAAACAGCTGGAATTCCTCATTTGTTGTGCTGAACAGGCAGCGTAGTGTGAGAGGTAACCAACACATTTCTGTCTTCCAGATTCAGTTATGAAATGTTTTACTTCTGGAATCAGCAGAGACAACTTGGACAAAATAAATCTTAGAGAACATTTCCAACTTGCCTTGCAGGTGTTCCAGGTACTGCTGCTGTTGACTTGGGCTGTGTGTGGCACAATCTGGAGTACATGGCTTGTACCTGGCATCGTGGGGAGAACGCAAGCAGTGACACCAACTACACTTTGTTCTACTGGTTCGTGGCAGATTTGTCTTCCCGGCTCTAAAGTGCTCTAGGACTAATCTTTAGTTTTACATGACACATTCCACTTGTCTGCTTCCTGTTGCTTTTAAAGTTCCCAGGGCATTGTGTCCAAGTTACTTCTCAGTCCCATCCAACAGAAAACTTCACCACCGAAGGGGTCAGGAGCTGCTATGGCCAAGACTTTTTGGGAAGTTGATATAACTGTTTTGTGTCTGCTGCTGTAGCCCAGATTAACACAGCTGCTGTTGCTTTCTATATTTTTCTATTTGGGCACTTGATTCAAAGAGGGAATAATTAACAACTAAGCTAGACCGATGTATTAGTTGCTTTCTTTGCAGTCCAGGAAAACAGGATGTTTAAGTTAGGATCACTCACAATGTAGGTGTCAGCTCATAAAGCATTGGGAAATGGCATGAAAGCATTAATAACTCTTAGCAGTACTTCTGTTTGCATCTTCAATGTTGTAAATAACTGATTCACCTTTACAGCTATGAAGAACCTCTTTTTCTCACCATCCTCCCCGCTGGCCAGTGGACAGTCATAAATGGTGTCTTGTTCCCAGGGAACAGACTTGTGTGAGCCAGCTCTTGGCATTGATAGCTGTACATGCTGATCTATGCATACTTCTGCACCTTGATGGGGCTTGTGAAATGCCAGATTGCATTAGCTTCTGTAGAAATAGTGGAGTTTCCTTTTCGAAAGCCCCATGTTGTAGTTTTAAATCAGCTTTTTGTCTTATTTGAGCTAACTACATAAACTTTCTGCTCTTCTTCTCCAGTGGCAGTCTCACAGGCCAGCTGTTCAGTTCAGGGCATTTGGACAGCAAACAGCACAAATGTTGCTGCCTTCATTAAATGTGGGGGGGGGACTATTTGTTCCCTGTCTAGACTGCTGCTCAAACTTATTCTTTGTTATAAGAACAGGACCAATGCAGGGTTGATTATCTGAATTTCTGGGTAGAGAGATACTTACTGGACTAATGGTTTAGATTTGAGTTATATATTTTCAACCTGCCCTTATTTTTAATGGAAGGTGTAACTGCAGTGACTTCAAAGTGGTTTAATTCATGCTTCTTTGAAAGAATAATAATTTTTAGATTTTAAAGCCAAAAACTAAGAAAACACTTCAATTTTAGATGGAAAGATACATTTTCCACAATGCCAGCGAGGTGGGGTTTTTGGTTCTGTTTTTCCTGGGAGGAAAGGCTACTGGTGTGTTTCATTGAGACTTGGGCCACAAAGAGAAGCAAGGAAGAAGTTTGTCTTCCTAACTTCTCTATTATTGAAAGGGAATGCTGACATTTTGAAAATCAAATCAGGTAAATAGGTAAAACTCAGCTGTTTCAAGAGCTGTGCTGCTTGAGGCAGAGCTAAAGGTTGATCAGCTCATTCTATCACAGATGAAATTCTGCTGACAAGAAATGGTCCAAATTAGTATGTTTTCTAAATATTCTTTACTCCTTGGAATTGTTCTCCCATGTGGAAAATGTGAACCAAAGCTGACAGCAGTTGTTCTTTTTGATATAAAGCAAGCCTGCCTCTCTTTCTGCTCCTTGGCACTCTTCACAAAAACAAGACTCTTTCTAAAGCTTGAGATAAATTATAGGCTGCTTACTTTGCTTAGCTTTATTTTTTTATATGTTATAGCATAGCTTTAATGCAATATCAGTCTTTAGAATTTGTAACACACGTTTATAAGCAAGCCTTCCCCTTGCTGTCCTTTTCTTCTGAAGCTTACAATAATGATTTATTCCTCTAGGTTTGATGGCTTGGAAAACCCTAAGAGCTGTAGCAACTCCTCTGTAGACCAAGGAATCTTTGAATGCATTTTCAATCTTACCTTCCCAAGAGACAGGAGAACTTATCCTGATATAAGTATTTTGATTAGAGGCGATTCTGAAGAAGTCAGGCCTCTATGTGCAAGTAAAAATCCTACCACCCTCGGTAAGTTTAACATCACATCATAAAAATATCATTAAAATAAGAAATTTCTAGTACATTGTTGTGTTTGAGAAACTTCACCTCATAAAGTATGGATGAGACAATGAGAATAGATGCTCCCTTTTACTGACCTTTGATTTGAAATTATATGGACAAGAGTTTGTTTTCTGTGGGATGGGTATCTGGGAAGAAGGATGACAGGTAATTTTCTATTAACTTCTACTCTTATTCTTTAGTTGGATTTACTCCTTTTTTGACTTACTGGTGCTAACTTCTTCCTCTTTCTCTTCTTAATCTGGTGTAAGTGTAGCATTCTGCAATGCAGGACTGAACCATATTTGTAAGCAGTGAAATAGACTTTTGAACTAATTATTCCATTTTGCATTTCAGTAAAACCTGCCACACCAAGACAATTGACATTGTCAAAGACTAATGATGGAATCGATGTAAAGTGGAGTGAATCAGAAACTTTTCCAAAAAGTTGTTTGCAGTATGAAGTTAAGTATAGCAATGGTGATTTGGACACTGGTCAGATCATTGCAGTAAGTTTTCATTGCTGTTTTTTATTTTCTGTGAATCTTTTGAAATACTTGCAGTTGATAATGAGCAGTTGCATGTGACTGGGGTGGGTGCCAGAGCTGGAAGTGCTGTGTGATGTTAATTTTTCTCTTATGCTGTAGGTTTATGTTAGTAAAAGCTGTACATCAAAATTCATTAAAGTCTTTTGAATCCTTCCCATCATTTCTAGTGTAATTTGTTAGTGTGTGAGAACAGTCTGATAAAGGGGGATTTACTAAACTCTCAGGAAATGGTGCCTGTCTGCTTCTCAGGCATATGGGCTTTGGTGTTCTGGTGTTGGGTTTTCCTGCTGTTGGTCTCTGTGGTCGTGTGGCAGCTTTGGATTTAAATGCTGTGACCTGATTGCCCTAAAGAAAAATCAGCTGCTGGTGCAGACAAGATCAGAGAATCTCTCAGATTCTCTGAGAGAAAAGCAAAGGGATAAAGACTGAGGATGGAGGGGAAGAAAGAGGGGTGCACCCTCAGATACACTGATTTTAGTGTGTACGTAAAAAGCATTGAGTTCAGTGTCTGGATGGACTCATGCTGTATGTCCATAGCCAAACTGAATGTTCTGTTTGATCAGAATGGTAAAAACAACATGATAAATTTCAAAGTGAGTGGCAGTCTTCTCCTGTGGAGCATGTTTAGTTGTTTATTCTACCCCAAACTCAAATGCTAGCAACATTCCCCAGGAAACTGTTATTTTGGATAAAAAACAAGTGCAGTTAGATCCTATCTAGTATGTGCTCTTTGTAGAGGCATCACAGAACACTTTGGTATGGTTGGTCATGCTGCCCTGACAAGAAGGGAAGGTAAATCACAGATGTTTTTCAGAAAAAGGAAAGAAAAAAATTAAAAAGGCACTGTTCCAAACGCTAAGTCTTAGTTTAATCATTGATGCCAAATGCTACATGATAGATGTAGCAGTGAATGAGATTAAATCTTAGCTTTGGAATGTGCATTAAGGCCTTCTGTGCTTGTTAAATTCCACTATGTCCTATTTTTAATGAGGTTTCATAGTCATAAAAAGGTCATCCATCAAAACATTCAGAATCCATTGGCTTCACAATGTAAATAGTCTTGGAAGTGGCTGACAATACCTTGGTAATTGAACAAAGCAAATTGCCTTTTCTTTTTTGCCTTAGTCCGAGAGGAGTTCTGTGTCAATTGCTGGCATTGATGCTCACAGCAAGTACAGCTTCAGAGTGAGAGCAAAGCCAAAGCGGGAGTGCTACAACAGCCACCTCCAAAGTGACTGGAGCGAGGAAAGGAGCATTGGTGAGAGACTTGGCCCTGCACTGTACTTTACTCTTCATCTCCAAGGCATTTAATACCTTTCTGTCTGCTAAATAAATGGGAGTCAAGGATCATCTCCTTATGTACCTACTTAATTTTGAGTGAAAAAAGGACAGAAGAGCTCTAGTCCTTCAGCAGCAGCACCACCAATCCCAGCCTGTGCTGCTGTTGATAATGTGTGGTGCCATTTGTGGAGCTATGCAAAGTCCAGTGTAGCCAATTTTTCAGCCCTGAGTCTTGCTCATTTGCACTTCCCTGCCAAACACATCAACATTATAATCCCAGCTTTGGAAAACAAGACTGTCCTTGCCTACAAAAGTGCTAGTGAACTTGAAAAAGCACTGAGTCTATGAACAAATTGGAGAATTAACTATTTTGTTGTCATTATTCCTAAAAAGCCTATCAAAATATCCCTAAGTTTCAACAATTTCTGTTTTCCAGGTGAGAAGAGGGACTCTACAATCTATTTAGTTCTAATAATTACCATTCCATTAATAGTTGCAGTATCTACAATTATTCTACTGATTTATCTAAAAAGGTAAATATTGATCTCCCTACATTTGCTGCTGTCGTTGTCAAGATGAAAGTTATTTAGAATCTGCCTGTGTCAATGTTCTCCTTCTGTTTTGGGGAGTAAAAATAAGAAATGGGTAGAGTTGCACAGAGAATGAAGGCTGGCCAGTGATGACAAAGTTGACTCCACAAATTTTCTTGACTGTACCCAAACATGATTTTGACATTTTTAAATGATTCTGTGGGTTTTAAATTATTTTTGAATTAATATATCTTTCATCTAAATATTTTCTTTTTAACTTTATGAAGGCTGAAGATATTAATTCTTCCACCAATTCCGGACCCAAGGGAAATTCTCAAGCGCATGTTTGGAGAACAGAACGAGGATTCCCAGGTTAGTAAGAAGCTGTTCGGTCAACAAATCTATTGAACTGGGATCTCTAGGCTTGCAGTTTTGTTTTTCTTAGGTCTGTCTTATAACTAACTATGTATAAGCAAGTATATAGTATGAAGATTAAGTATTTTACAATACTAGGAGTTGTTCAGGAACAATTACCCAAAACTTAGATTTCCTTCCCCACCCCCACAACTGTGTATACTTTTTTAGTTAGATTAATAGAATTACATTATTCTGTTACTCCAGACTACTATAGTCCCTTAAATTTGTTTCAGGTTGGGGTTTTTTGGGTGGCAGTTTTCTGATTGTCAGGCTTCTTTTGCTGTGTGGGTTTTGGTTTGAGGATTTTTGGTTTTGTTTTTGCAACTCCATTAAGTGACTTCTATTGAACATTCATGTCTTTCTGCTACTTAATCATATTTATGATGCTGAATTAAGCTATTTGTGTTTGACTTCCAGAAACTAACATTTTTAGCACTCTCACATTTATTATAGTCTGTTTGCTAGGAAGTAAATCAGACACATAGCTTCTTGTTGGCAAAAGAACAAAAGCAGCTATAGTTTCAGTCACTGGTTGATGAAAAGCTTGCAGTGGTGCATTATTTTGGGGAAAATAAACGTAATACCATTAAGGAAACTGATTTCTAAATAAATCTCTCTCAGTAGCCCTTTATAAAAATCCAAAGAGAAGCACACTGACAAGCCCTTGTTCAAACCTTGACATGAATGTTGTTCTCCCAGATGGGACTCTCGGCCACGAGGGCTGTAACTGTGGTAGCAGTTGCAGTTACACTTTGTTGTGCTTGCACAAGTGTTTTGTTACTGCCCCAAATAATTTTCTCTGTGTGAAAACTCTACAAAGTGTGTACGTGCTCAGTTCTCCATCCTCCTGCCTGAGCTTCACCCGCTGGCTGTAGTTGGAAGCACCAACATTCAGTTCCTCATTTCCAGAGGACATCTCTTCTGCCAGCCAGGTCTAAGCCATGGCTCTGAAAAGCACATTTTGTTGCCCAGCCACCTTGGCTTTCCACCATAATACAGGGTATATGTTGTGGAACAGGGGTATGTCTTATGGGGTGAAAAAGCAACACCTGCCATGAGGAAATACTGTTAAAAATGTTGTTCGTCTCTTTCAGAGCTCTGCAAAGGATGACCCCATGAATGCTTTTGACAGGTTAATTATAGAAGAAGAAATTCATTCTTTAATTTTAACAGAAACTTCAGAGAGCAGTAATCCTGAAAAAGAAAACAGGTAGACTCTGCTTTATCAAAGAAAGAGGAGGAAGCTGATTCCTGCTCCTGTACCTCAGGTGACTGTAGATGTGAAGAGGCCTGTGAGGCACTGGGCAGCTCTTCCTTCTGTGAAGATGCATCACTAACAGTGGCTGTTCCTCCATCTCTGCCAGAAATACCCATCTGAGCTCAGGATGAGCGTGTGTGAAATCCCCTGGGACTGCACTGTGGGTTCCCTGCTCTGGCTTCAGCCAGCTCTGCCCTGCAATTGTTACTGCCACTTGCACTTGTGTTTGTGCCTCACACCACACTGTCAGGGTTGTTTGTTTTTGGTTTTTTTGTTTTGGAGCAAGCACTGTGACTTCTCTGAAGTATTTGGCTCTGTTTGCAGTGGGTGGGATGGATCATTTGTGCTACCACGTGGGGTGGCAGAGCACGGACTGTTTGTGGATAACCCTTTGTGTGCCTGGGCTGGGCACTCTCTGGAGGGCACTTATGGACTGAGCTTCTTGTGCTTCTGCCCATCAGCTGGGGCTTGGTCAAATCCCACCAAAGAGGGTATTTTTTTAATTTGAAAATGTGTATGAAAAGCCTCTGCTTTCCAGCTGGTGTTCAGAATATTCATAAAAAAGGCTTAGTTTTGTTATCCTGCCAATTGCCTGTCCTCAGATGCCTTGCCTTCATGGACTTCTTGGGTTAATTATACTTTGTGTAAAAAGAGAAATATAATTTTTTTTACTTGTTCTGTGCAGTAGCAGATAACTGTATTGAGTCTCACCAGACTGTGGTTCTACTTTGGCCATATTGGCCTGAAGACACCTGATTTTTAGCAGCTAAGTTGTCCTGAGCCTGTTCAGCAAAAACATCAGGATGGAGCATGAGTCTAAGGAGAGGTGATCAAAAGGATTAGCAAATGTTAAACCACTGAAACCCAACCAATGCAAAGGCTTCAAGACCCATTCTTACTGCCAAACTGATGGATCTGGGGAAGAGGGGGTGACAACCTTGACCTGTTTTCTAAGAAATAAGTTTTATTCTTTTATAGTGATGAGACTCTGATTTGAGCTTCCCCTCTAGGACTTAGTAATGTAAAAGAAGGTGCTGATTTGACTTTTTAAAAAATATTTCTTCTATATTTTACAGGTGTAAAATATTTCTTCTGTATTTTGACAGGTGTTTTATGTTGTTGTTTTGTTCATTCTTTGATGGTTTTGTTTTGAGGGTTCTTACCCAGCAAAGCTCAGCAGGTGTTTTCTGGACAACTGTGACATTTTTCTGTCTGCATTCTCAGCATTAGTTTCTGCCCTGTGCTGCAAGGGTGGTTACAGTGGTACCTTGATTGTGCTGGAGGAAGAAGATAATGGAATGGAGAGAAAAGGATCCATGGAAGCCCTTCATGGTTAGTGCTCAGGGATTTCTTGCTCCTTCCAGATAAGTGTAGACATGTGAGTCGTGGATGTGGGCAGGCTTAGCAGACTGGGAAGAGATCTCCTGATAGGCTTTCTAGGAGCAGATTTTATAGCTACTAACCTTTTAAAGTTCATCCTTGTCTTCAAACTCCATTCAGTCAAAAAAATGAAACTAAATGCTATATTTTTAGAACATATTGTTCTGCAACAAGTAGAATGAGTACCACAGGCTTTTTAGCTACAAATGTGCATCCTTTATGCACTTATGTATTCCCTCCTTATTAATACATCCAGTTCTCTCCCCATTGTTCACTGAGCCTCTCAAATACAGTTTTTCCATGTCTCTTATCCTCCTTTTGTTAGTGGTAGAAAGGAGAGGAGAAATGTAGCAGAACTAGCAGACCCCCAAGTAACAAAAGCCTTTTACCTCCAATCAGGCTAAAAAAGCCCCAACATTATAAAAATTATTAAATGAGACAAAATAAAAATAAAGCCTCAGGGATTTCAGTGAGAAAAAACTCAGGTTATACAAAGTCAGCTAATAGCACTCTCTGAAATTCCAGAGATTAAGGAATAGCATGAGGAGAAGAGTAATTACATTCCTTGCTGAATTCATTCCCTCTGCAACACTGATGTCCTTATAATGATAAATATTCCTTCAGTCTACCTCATCTGGAATGTTGCTCAACATAGACCACTAGGCAGAAATGTATAGTTTCAAGATAAGTAAACATAACAGTGTAATATAAAGTTTTGTAGCTTTCAGCATAACAATCTAGGAAAATCAGTACTTACCCCTAAATTCTTTTGACTTTTATGGTGGTGTCTATAACAAAACCAAAACTTACTAGCTTTTAAAAAAAAACCCAAACCAACAAAAAACCCCAAACAAATTTGTAAAGCCATAGAATGAAAAAAAAAAAAGGATGGATGGTGTTAGGCCAAAAGGAAGATTTAAATGCTAAGGATGGTTTAAGTCACTATATAGAAAGGTTTTAAATAACACTAGTTAACACTTCCTCATGGATTCATTTATTGAGCCTGTGTTTCAGCATGTAAAGCAAGTATCTGAATATACTTTCACCTTTGACATGTTTTTTTTTTTTAAGGTAAGAGGTTTTTTTAGCTTGAAATTATCCAGATTTTGCTATGATTTCTTTTCTTCATTGCAGTTACTTGATCTGTAAATTTGTTCAGAGTGAATAAATGTGATTGAATGCTTTTCGGTGTAATGGCATGGCATTTTGTTCTTGGGTTGAGGAGATTAAACTGAGGCCAAAGAGGTGAATTTTTAATGAGGGACCATGTCTGAAGCATGCAGAACCCAGAGAAGAAAAGCCGAGTTGCTTTGCCCTCTTCCCTTTTAAGAGTGAATTGTTTTAAGAGTCCATTGTGGATGGACTGCATGGCCGTGGTTTTGGCTGGGATACTGGAACAGAGATGGAGCTGAGCACAAGGTTTGGGCTCTCACCCTCTCTACTCAAGGCCATTCCACTTTCTGACATTGGCACGTTATTTCAATGCCATAGAGACTTAATAAACCATCAAACTGGAACTTGACTGAAATTGCTGCAGCTTTCCCCAATGTATCTTCAGTATTTTACATCTTTGTTAGCTGCTGAGGTTATTGAAAATGCCAGGTTGCTAAACTGATGGAAGCTATCAACTTGTCACTTAGACCCAAATATATTCAAGTGCCAAATAAACACATTAGTAATGGCTTCTTGGAAAGACTGAGAGAGAATTCTTAGTTCCCTTTAGTGAGCTGATCATTCAAAATTAAGATATAAACCATGACATCAAAACCAAGACTTTTGTGTTTCTCTTTCATAATTCTACAGCTTTGGTGGTAATAATGACTAACAATGATTTTAATCACTCCTTGTAAGTGACCTTTTCTTATTTTAATATATTCTGTTAAATAATATAATCTTTCTGTATTTGGCATCATTGAGAAATTGAACAATTAATTTCTTTTTTTTTGGTTAAGGGGTGACATGACATAGTTGAAAGAAGTTCAGAGGAACACACTTCAGTGTAAGTCACTGTTTCAGTGCTTGTTGGGTAGAACTGTTCACAGGTTGGGTATTTCCATTCACTGGAAAGTATTCAATAAACTTATTTCTGAGCTGGGACTTCAAATACTCAGAATTTCCTTTTTATTTTTTTTTCATTATTAAAAAAAACAGAATGAATTTTCTGTTTTGGAGGGTTTTCCACTCACTCAAGCAAGAACAGGATGTAGGTGAGTAGGGGGTGGAAGTCCAGATATGGTCAGGATGTTGTAGAAACTGCTCTCCCTCCCTCTCACCCAAGAGCTGTGGTCGGGCAGCAGCTGAGAGCTACAGGAACAGGCAAGGTGGGACTGGGAGGAGCAGTTCTGCTGGGTTACTGAAGGTTCATCAAGATAATCCCCAAATACTTCTGTTTTAAACAATATTTGCAAAATATGTTTTAGGGGAGCATCGCCAGCTGTAGAAATGTAGCTTCTAGATAATACTGAAAATCCAAATGCAAAACCAGATTAAAATCTCTCTATTTGGATGAACTTTCTGCAAGCTGTTGAATCAAGGTGATAGCAGGAGGCTCAGATCACATGATGTAACAAAATCCACACTGTTACCACAGCAAAGCAATGTGGGTTTGGGTGGGTGGCACGGGGAAGAGAAACTTTCTCTCGGGTCCGGAAACTCTGTCTCAGGTTTCTAACGTGTAAGGGCCTGAGGGTTGGTTGATGACTTATGGGGGTTTTTTGGGGTTGGTTTTTTTCAATCTGTTTTTCCAATATGCTGGTTAGGTAAATGAATTCCTTTCTCTTTGTTTGTAAACCTTGTGGTGTTTATCACTGAAGGACCCCTTCTATGGCCATTCTCTGGTTATTGCTTGGTTTTCTGAAGATAGTAATTCAGTGGGGAAAGACAATTGTTGCTGCCACCACAGAGCTGAAAACCAGCCAGTGTACTCTAGTAATATTCTCTGCTTCTTGTTTGGCTTTTGCTAAAATACTGCAATGATTTTCATGACTCTTGCACAAAGCAGCTACAAAAAGATAACTTTCCAGTTAACCAGGACTTAGCTTGTTATATCAGTTTTCCTCTTTCATATGGCTCAAACAGCTAAATAAAATTGCAGTTTATTTTGGCTAACTGTATGATGGGATTAAAAGCTTTAGTGAGAAAGATGTTTGGTTAAGCTCAGGCCCTGTCACTTTTTGGAATCTCGGGCAAAATTTGCAAAGCTAGATGGAATGTTAGGGGCAGCTTGAACCAGGAGCTAAGCTAATGCTTTAAAAGAAGAGCTGCCCCTACATCTTCTGTGCTGAAAGAAAAAATAACAAACCCAACAAAATATGTGCTCCCTTATGGGAAAAATTAAGTTGTGCAATGGGCACGCTGTCATAATTTCTGCCTCAAAGTTCTCTGTTCTGAAACACCACATCTGAGCTGTATTTAAGACACTTAGCCATGTCATTGCCACTTTACCTGTTTAGCTGTAGCAACAGAAAAGTTTTTTTTTTAGTGGCAGAGAGCACCAAAATTAGCCTGTTCTGCCTGTTGGAGCCTTTCTCCCTCCTGCACTTCAAAGCCTTTTAACCTCTCACTAGTTTCCTTTCG